GGTAGGTAGATGTATGTCAATATCTTTTTGGTATTTCCAACGACACTATTCTTCCAGTTTTTCGCCAGTCCTTTGATTGTTCGATAATGTGGTCCTGGAGTGGATATAATTATTTTCTAAATTGTCCCATTCAAGTACTCATTTCTGCTGGTGTAGCGTTTGTCGGCTGTAAAGTATTGTCACCATCGTTCGTTTACAACGCGGATGAAGTGTCCAGCAGTGGGGAATTTAGGCAGACGCTGTTGCGTGCTCGTTCGGCTAGACTTGGTGAGGTAGAGCACTGAAAGTAAAATTTATGAGGTAACTGAGGAAGTTAGCTACTGCGTCTGTTATTATTGATATATATGGTTTTTGAAAATCACTTAAGCTTAGACTTTTGATTTTAATTTCTCAGAGTCTTTTCGTAGGTGGTTGTGGAGTGACTACTGCTTAAATAGAAAACATTGGACTGAGTTGTCACCGCAGTTGTTGTGCTGATGGGAGAAGTTAAAGCAGTTGGTATGTTTTTTTAAGGGATATGGGTCACTGGTGGTTGCAGCTTTTTTATTTTATAAATTAATAATATGGTCGAGAGAAGCACTATGGTAGAGCTTATCTTGTTCATTTAATTGTATAACGAGGTTATAAACTCGGTGTCTCTGATGTCACTTCTGAATACTTTAATATCATCCCTCCGATTTGGTGTACGTGCGTTGTAGGTTATTTTATTGCTTATTTTTTCGTGATCTGAGAGCACTTCCAAAAAACGTTCACAATTTTTGTGGAATTAAATTTGCAGATTTATTGGAGCAGTGCCTGGTACTCCTGATTTATTGACCTTTACTGAGCAGTCACTGTTTTCATTGCGGAGAAACGGTGGCGGTTCTATGCTGGTCTGATGGTTGATGATGGGGCAGGAATAATCCGTTTGATCTCCAGCCATCTACAAGTTATTATTAGATAACATTGGCTCTTTCTGTTGTTGGAGGTTTCATGCTCTGAATTCCGTTCGAAATGATGTAAACAAGTGTTTATTGTTTATATGTTTCGCTGCGGGAACGGCATTCCTCCGTTGGTCATGTACTTTTTGTGTATCGGATAAGCAACTTCTGTTTTAAACGAGGCAAACAGTTCGTGTATTTCATTTTTTTTTCATGCTCATTGTCGTTGTTATGTGCTTAATAGCTGCTGTTGAAAGACCAGTGGATGCCATTTGACTTTTTGTCCCTGTCTCCGTTGAGAATTCTGGTGACCGAATTTTATGGGAACAGGCTGGTGGCTTACGTGTTGACAGAACGGCGTATGTTTTATTATAATCATACCCGTAATGTCAACATGCATGCTTCCAATCTTATGTGTTCTCCTCGGCATCTATTTTACTCCTTTCTAGCCTCAGATTTTTAACCAGGTTACTGCAAAATTATTTTATGCTGGGGATCCGAAAACTCAGTGAATGTTGCAGTGCGCTGACTTATTTGTGCAAGGGCCTTGCTTTTGCATTAGGTACCTTGATGCAGTTTTTTCTCCCACCAGGATGATTTGAAGGGATCAGGTTTTTTCAGCTCAGGAAGCGCAGATAACACCGAATCGCGCATAGCACATTAGAACTGTCGAGTATGAGAGTGGAGGAAGTTATGGATTTTTTTTTTTTGTGCTAAATGCAGTGGTAATCATATGAGAATGAAGTAGCGGTTTTAAAAGATGAGTAACGCACTGAATATAATTTTGATGAAGTTTCCGTGCCAGGTTACTGCGAAAGTCTTCTGCACTTGCTGCTTGTGCGGTTAAGAGACTGACAGGCATTTTTGGTGATCGGACTTTTTTGCGGAAACTGTCCTTTGAGTTATCGCATAGGAACTCCGAGCAGATGAGTACGCAGATCTTACAGATCATCTAGTAAAGTTATAGAGGAGCTTCTTTATGAGAATAGTGCATAAGGTAATCAAATATGGTTTCATTTTTTCTAGTAACATGAAAATATCGTAATTTTCCTATTTGCTTTCCATGTCGTTATGCTAATTGTGCTACTTGTCCAAGTAACTGGTTCAAGAGTAGAAGGTGCGTAGGTTTGCTGGTTCTTCAAGGTAGGGAGGTAAATGAACATAACAGGTAATAAAGAACGGACGTTAGCTGGCTTTGTAAAAGCGAAGCTCCTGGATGCTTGCTTTACGTCATCCCTCCTGTGAAAAATTTCTGTTATGCTTACTTTTAGTTGAACGGTATTTCGAGCTCTTTTTTTTGATGTCCAGGATGGCTCTCTCTAACTTGCCCTACGAGGTTTTTTTGGCTATCACATTTGCTTGTGCTTCCCGTCACACTATTCGTTATCGATGTTTTTCGATGGTGCTTTTGCTCATCACGACCTAATTGAATATTTCGTTGGCGTTGGTTATTGTGACGTATTTTTACACGAATTCAGCGGCTTTGTAACCTGAACTACCATAACTGGACAGGTCGTTTTTTTGAAAGGTGGGGACGATTTATGATAACTCTCGGATTATTTGTTTCAAGTCAGTAACTGAGCCGTTCACTAGTCTGCTATTTTTTATACTTATTAACCGTAACTTCAAGAAATAGTGGTTTGCAAAAATGAAAAGCTTTTGTATCTTAAACACAACTACTTTATGTTTCTTGCAGTCCTTTGCCACGTTACTTTTAAACGATGAATTCAAGCACATTTTCTTAAGTGCTGAAGATTTCATCATGCCGCAGCTGTTGATGAGATTCGGTTATTTAGGGGAGTTCGGACGGACGAATCCAGATTTATCAAGTCAAACTGGTCTAAGTATTCCAGAATTTCTTTACGGTTTTATTCAACAAAAAATAGTTGTCATCCTTGCCGTCGAAGTACTGTTTACGGTGTTGAGTGGTTCTTGGGGATGCATCTTAAACCCTGAGCTACTTGTTACCTGTTGCATCTAATTGAAGGCTTCATACTAGAAGCTATTTAGAATTACAATAACACTTGACCGGAATGGAAATAATGGGAAACAGGCGGATCTGGAAAGAATAAATTAGGAACAACTGCTCTGTTACGTGCAGCAGTTTTTTTCTCTACTTATATGATGTATAGGTATGTCCAGTATAGTTGCACCTAACAGTGAAATACAAGAAGTCATTTTTACGTTTGACTGCGACGTTTAAAACATTTTATTAGACGATTTAACTTTCATACACAAT